AGCCTTGGGAAACCTCACTGCACACTCATGAGAGAGTAAGAGTACACAAGGCCAAGGACATCCATTGTTACACAAATCACAGTGACCTCATGGACCCCTGAAGGAGTCTCAGGATACCTTGAGGTCTACAAACTACACCTTGAAACACATTGCTCTGAGGCGATAACCCAAAGTTCCCTTTAAAGGCAGAAGATGCTGGAGCCTCATGACCATCTGTGCTCAAGAGGCTTCTGCATGGCTGCAGCACTTCTCACTGGAATGCTTCTGCTCCTCTACCCATGCAGCCCACATGTCCTTCTAACTTAGGCCAAGGATCAAGCGGTATGGTCACACCTCACTACATGTGCTGATCTGGAAGAGCAGTTGTTAAAATTAGTGTTAGAAATGTGTTCGAAATCTCCACCACCTCTGGGTAGCACAAGTGAGAATGAGAGTGTGTGTGTGATCAAGGTGGAAGGGCTCAGTGTTGCTTGCTTAGCATGCATGAGGCCCCCTGGATTAGTCCCCAGCCAAAAAATAAAAATAAAAAATAAAGTGCATCTGCAACAGACAGGAAGTCTCTCTGGTCCTTTTCAGGGGGAGAGCGTCAGAGGAGACTTAGGTAAAGGTTTTAAATCTCCTCTTTAGCTTTCAGAATGCGGCAGCACATAGGACTTGTACGGCCCAGGGCTGCCCCTCAGTCACTCATGATCTGAAGTTACCTCAGACTATTCAAGGAGAGGAGGGTTCTCTGTAGATGAGTAACACGGCGTCGTGCCCATGATTCTAACCTTTATATCTAACACAAGAGCTGCTCATAATGGACACAAAGGCCACCCCATGCTATTTTCCCTGAAGGAAAGTGATGGGATAATGAGGGGTGTGTCCGAGTGTGCAGAGGAGGCAGAGGACAGCGTGTAGAGAAGCACGTTCGTTCTATTAGAATTTAATCTCCAGCCCTGTCTTCTAATAGAGCTAATCTAAAACTGTCCCCTGTAATTGAGTATGGGCCAATCCCTGTGTGCCCCCAAGAAAATGAACCAGTTGATCAATAGTGAGGTGACTGCGTAGAGCCGGCTGGGGCTGAATGAGGCGTGTCTGGGTTGCGCAGCAGCAGGCTCTGCCAGGGTAAACGTTCTTGGGCAGGAGCCTGAAGGCCCGGCACCCACACTGTGAAGATGGAGGGTCCCTCCCAGGGCCGCCTGGAGGCTTGCCTTTCTCTCCTTCACTGCTACAGCGTAGGTCTGGGGTGGGTCTCTGGGTGTCTGTGTATGCCTGCTGTGGAGTGTGAGCTGGCAGATGGCTGGTGTGTCACGGAGAGCAAACACCTTTCCAATGCATTCAGATATACTGCGCCCACCCCTGAGAGGGAGCAAAGAAGGTAAATGGGCATTCCTGCTCCTCAGAAGAACGTTGTTTTATGCTGTTGCTTCAGAGATGTTTAGAGAGAATTTATTTTTGGTGACTTAATCATTAAGTAGCGTAAATATCTATAAAATTCCAATTAAATGGTGTCTAAAACTTAAAGGAGCAATCTACAGGCAAAGCGCCAACATTTCTTTTTTAAACAAATATTTATGATAATAGCTAGCATTTTAAAGTCAAACAGAAACTAGGCTTGATCCTGTTTAATATTTTGTAAGATTGGACATCTTAAAACAAGTCAATAATGTTTATATTTTATAGCAATTCTGTGTTTATTCAAAACCATAACTCTACTGTGATGTTAATGGAATGACTTTATAAGGCTTTGTGTGGATTTAACTGCTGACCACATTTAAAATTAAAACAATATTTTTGCTGATAGAGATAATACTTACACAAAATATGAAAGACAAGAAAGTTTTACTTACTGTAAAGTTTTTTAAAAAGAAGTTGTTGTGAATGACTAATTTCTCTGAGGGTTTAAGGTAGCTGTCTGTAATTCCGGAACTGGATTCTGTGCCTGTGGGATTTTGGAACAGCCTAAGCCACCTTTTAGGTTGATATGCGTGCTAGAGCAATTTTCATTCTCATGTTTTGTGATGTGTAATAAATTCAGGGTGCTGTGCTTAAGCTTCATTTCAATTCTAGTTGGAAACCCATTGTGTTGGTCCCCTGCCCCCAGGCCCTGCGCAAGAGAGCGAAGTCAGCCCACTCTTGCCCGGTGTGCTTTGCAAACCAGGATCATGATTTCCAAACCCTCCACTTTCATATCTGGGAAGAGGGATGCCTTCTCTCCTCCTTTGCTGTCTCTTTAAGAAATGTTTTGTCATTATTTGTTTTGGGAAGTGGTATGCCAAGCCACCTCTCAACCCTCTCCATGATTTATGTTGCGAACAGATCCTTCGTCCTGTGTCTGTTTACTGCCCATTCTTGTCAACTGAATCCTAATCTTGTGTAACTCTGAAGATGTGCTGGAGACAGTTTCTGTTTTCATTATGCAACTGTTATATGTGTATTTCAGTGAAATGTCAACTCATCAACAGAGGATGATGTTAAAAATTATCCAAATAAATAGTTTTCTATTTCTTTTAATCATACCTAGTCCAGTTAGTTAAATGGCAGCAAAACTGTTGTTTAAGCTGGGAATGACCCTGGTCCCTATGCCTTGCAAGTTATGCATTAATGTGTACAGTTTACCTCGAGAGTGTTGATCATGGTGAATATAACCCACGTTGATTTTTGTGGCTACAACAGAGGTTTCAAGCCTGTGTCTTCTTGTGTGACCCTCAACTATGTAACAGACCTCTCTCCCAAATTCAGACAAGGGGACTTCCACCAAGGTTATTGTGTCTTGATAATTGCACCCTAGAAAACTGAATAAGTGGGTTATGGCCTTTCTTCACATGGCTACAGCTGTGCTCACTGAGCACTTCCTGCCAAGACAACACTGGAGTTGTCTTCATGGTATTTCTGAGGACTAAAGGTGGGTCTGTTACAGACCTAGAAAGTATGCTGTACTTAGGAATCTTAAGAGACGGTGTGTGTGTGTGTGCCTGCCTGTGTGTGTATGTATGTGTGTGTGTGTGCACCTGCCTGTGTGTGCCTGTGTGTGTATGCATGTATGCGTATGTACATGCATGCCTGCCTATATGTGTGCGTGTGTGCGTGTGTGTGTGTGCATGCCAACAGGGACATGTGTGTTCTTTCAAAAGCATGTGTCCATTGGTGCCTATGATTAGAAAGGCAGCAGAATAGGAAGTAGATTTTTGTGGCCACATCATAAACTATTCTGGGTCCCTGGGATATGCCTGTCTTTCCCTTCTTCTACACTGATATACATGCTAGAAAATTTTCATAACCATTCTGTGGTCTATAGTAAGTTGAATGTGCCATGCTTAAGCTTCATGCCAGTTTTAGTTAGGAATGCATGCACTCGTCCCCTACCCCAGGAACTAAGGTTCCTTTGCCTACTACTCCTAGGCAGGGCCCATAAAGTTTCCATTCCCAGCATGATCCTTGTCCCTACAATTCATGAAACTGAAAGGACCTACTGGTTTCCAGTGATGGAAGGGTTTGGACCAAGCCAGCCCTGTCTGCCCTTTTTTGCAGAATCATCTAATGAGCCAGATATTCTTGTGGATGTGTCTGCTTTTATAAAGAGCTACTTGAGAAATTTCTGAACAACTTTATATTTTGAATTAGCCATTGTCACCACTGGTGTCCTCAGATGGCCAGTTATAGGTATTCTCATACAGGGTTTCCAGCCCTGCTTAGCCCCCGTCTGCTCCCTTCCTCCTCCCCTTCCCTCTTGCTTCTGCCCCTCCCTTTCCCTTCACCCGAGCATCTTTCCCACCATATGTGTATCTCATGTGTGAGCACTGCTCTTTATCTCAGTCCTTCCCCAGGCTACTCACCTTAGGACAAGAAAGTGGTCTCCACCCAGGAACCCAGCACTCCACAGCTTTCTTCTGTAAATGGCCCTGGGGTTGGAGCACAAGTTGCTGAAGGAAGCTTACCCAGCCAGCATCTTAGATTCTCTGCTAGCTTGTAGGAGCTACTGTTTGTTGCCTGGGTACTGAAAGCAGAACTTAAGACCAGGGAGCAACTGTGGAGAAGGATAAGGCCCCTATTAGTCTGAAGCCAGCATGTTGGCCTTCTTCAGATTATGCTGAAAATTCCGTTTTCTTGGGGCTACTGGTTCCACCTTTCCCTGTCCACTGGCTGCGTGCACTTTACAGTTTCCCCGGCACAGCTGTGGACAATGCAGAGCCTTGCCCAGGTCTCTCCTGACAGATCCCTTGGGCTAGGGAAGGCTAGGAGAGAGGGTCTCTGGGGAAGTATAGACCTTGGGGCTGTTACTTGTGGCTCCCGTACTGCAGATAGATGGTAGCAAGAGCTCTCTGTGTGTGCACTTGAGCATCCCGGTCTCTCTGCTGATTGAGTTCTCAGCCTCCATGGCTATATGCCAAGGCTATGTCCTGATGGCCGGTGTGGCCCTGTGCACAGCAGCCTAAGCCTGTGTGACTGTTGGTCTGTTTCCTTGTGATCTGAGTGTGCTGGTGACTGCAATGTATGATGTCACTCACCTGTTCCATACTCCACAGTGAGTCAGTGGCCCCGATGGCTGCTGGCTTCTCTGCACCAAGTCTAGCTCATCCTCCACAAAGCCAGGCAATTCTTGTCCCCTCTTTGTTTGTTTGTTTGTTTGTTTGTTTGTTTATTAAAATAACTAGGTGATATTCCTTGTCCTGTTCAGGGCTCAGGACATGGTTCTCTGCAAGCAGCCTTTCTAAAGGCTGTCAGTTAGTCAGGGGCGGGCATGCACTCTTGGCTGTCACAGTCCATAGTGCTGGTAGCCAGGTGGTGTGCTATAGCTGAGGTGTTTGCAGAGGAAGTTACTTAATAACAGGCTTTAATCAGCCCAGCCTAGTCCCAGTGTGACCTCCTGACCACATCCCAAACACCCTAGGTTGCAGTTACAGCTAGTCAGTAGTTCCTTGGATTGGCCTTTGGAGAAAGCTTCCTTCCCGCTGCTCCATCAGGCTGGACCAGGGCTCCTTGATGTCTAACCTGTTCTGCCATTTTCATTGACTTAGGCGGGATTAAGGACTCTGCATGACATTGGGCCAGAAATCCGACGTGCTATATCCTGTGACTTGCAAGATGATGAGCCAGAAGAATCCAAACCAGAAGATGAAGATGTATTCAAAGTAATTATTCCACGCCTAGCTACTCACTGGCCACATGGAGACAGTGGGGCAGGACTTTGGTTGGGGTGGTTCTGATCCACAGAGGAGTGTGGAGAATACAAGCCAGTGGCAGGGGCTAGCGAGGCTGGCATATCCTGCCCCTCTCCACCCTGGGATCTCTCTATTCACCAGCACCTCTTGTGGGCCAGACCAGCCTTTTTCCTGAGCTTTCCCCCCACCCCCAGCTGTCAGCTTTCTCAGCTTGGCCACAGCCAACTGACCAAAGTACAGGAACAGTCTGGGTCTTTCTAGCAGCTGTCCATGCTGCTCTCCTTCTGCTCTAGCCCAGTTCTCTGATCTGCCAGCCAGCCCTCAACCTCCCAGCTCAGAGAAAATGTCAAGTACCCCACCGTGGGGCTACCCACCAAGCCAGCTGGGCTTAAGTCACCTCGTCTTGGAGCGACTGGAAGAACATACCCAAGGGGCAGCAGAGAAATTGCTCCCCAGCTCAGGACTTGGTAACCTTCCTCATTTCAGGTGGGCCAACTGCCACACGAATATGTTCACCTGACCACCGAGACACTCAGACAGTTTGTCTCACAGGGATCCTCTGGAGCTTGCCTAGAGTTTGTGTTTCATGTAGAGAAAAATGACCTAACATAGCTAGCCTGCATCAAATACTTGTTAAATTACCTGGTGTTGTCTCCCATTATTTTGCAGAGAAATGGTGCCCTGCTTGGAAACCATGTCAATCATGTTAATAGTGATAGGAGAGATTCCCTTCAGCAGACCAATACCACCCACCGTCCCCTGCATGTCCAAAGGCCTTCAATTCCACCTGCAAGTGATACTGAGAGACCGCTGTTTCCTCCAGCAGGAAATTCGGTGTGTCCTAACCATCATAACCATAATTCCATAGGGAAGCAAGTTCCCACCTCAACAAATGCCAATCTCAATAATGCCAATATGTCCAAAGCTGCCGGCGGAAAGCGGCCCAGCATTGGGAACCCTGAGCATGTGTCTGAAAACGGGCATTACTCCTACACGCATGATCGAGAGCTTCAAAGAAGGTCCAGTATTAAAAGGTAACCTTGAAAGGTGACACAGAGTCTGCCCTTGTCACGCCCATTCCACAGAGCGAGGCGAGTCTTCCTGTGCTCTGGCACTCGGGTAATCCCCTGAAGACATGTGCGCTTGAACTGGGGTGCCGCTCATCTCTTGGCCTCTCCATGCAGTGTCCATGTGAGGGCCCGACCACTTAAGGGTTCACCCACTCCACCATCCTGCTGCACAAAGTGTTCTCTTAAAACAGCAGCCACAACTCCACCTTCCCCAGGCAGGACAACATGCTTTGGCCTGGGGGTTGGTGACTATCTTTTGTAAAGGGCCAGTATTTTAGTTTTTGAGGACCATTCGGTCTCTCTTGCAGAACTGCCCAACTTTGCCATAGCAGGTGAATGCAACCAGGGAACATTCTTAAGTGAGCGAATGCAGTTGTGTTCCCATACTGCTGTGTGTGTAGACACTGAAGTTTCAATTTTTTAAGGTTAGAAGGGTTTTACTTCATTTTTTTGTCCTTTATAAATGTAAGACCTCTTCCTAGCTCATGGGCCACCTGAAAACAGATAGTTGGCCAGACCTGGCCAGCCAGCAAACTGGAGCTTGCCCACTCCTGAGAGGGGGGGCTGTTACCCATGCTTCCAGTGCTTTTGGACATGTTTAACTCTTCTCTTCTCCCTCCCGTGGCATGCCTTTCCTGGATAGAACCCGCTATTATGAAACTTACATTAGGTAGGTGCTGTTGCCAATGTCTTTTGTTTAAAATACTATGCTGCTGTCCTGTTACCCACTGCATTCATTCAGTGCCAAGGAAGAAAAAAATGTCGTTAGCCAAGTCACCTGATAAATTTTCAAAATGCCAGAGCTTTGCTTTCATGAGCAGTTCCCACAGTTCCCACTCCCCAAAAAGGAACCGGTGCCCATCCCCTCTTTCCTCACCCCACTGTAGCTGGGCAGGTCTAGATGCTTTAGGGGTCCAGATTCTCCTGTGGACTTCAGAGAAGCATAGCTCAGACATTCTGGAAACCAGGCAGTAGATCCCTCTAGTTGACTTCCAGGTAACCCTTGGTGTGTGTGCGTGGGATAGCCTCATGTACGTGTGTTAACCTGGGCGTAATTATGGGTGGTAATCATGGGCGTAATCATGGGTATGGCCATGAGCGAAAAATGAGGTGCTCTGGGGTGATGTCACTGAGCCCACTGGGCCGCTTGAGACCAGAAGGAAGCAGGCTCTTTCATGGAAATAGTGCGCTGACCTGAGGCAAGGCAGCCTATGGAATCGTCGGGGTACAAATTTCAGGAACACCTCTCCGGTGGCACAAAAGCCAGAACTTTCCCAAGAGCCCTATTTGAGAGGGTGCAGTCATCAGGACAGAGGTGTCTGTTGCAGGTTCTGAATTCACAGTAGCTGGCACTGCGGTAGGGCGTGGGAGGGGGAGGAGATGTCTGGAAACCTAGCGTTTTTTCTTGGGACCACTGGCTACAGAGTGAAGCCCTCTGTCTTGCTCTGTTACTCTAATCACAACTGTGTCTACAATCTCAAGGTCTCTAGGCACAGTGCTTTGGCTATAGCGCTGTGCAACATACTGAGGCCACAAGCACATACACATGCACAAGCGTACAGGCACAGAGCATCTTGGCCGGGGCCTGAGTAGTCTCACCCGCACGGGGCAGGAGTGTGGATGAAGAAGCAGGCACTCGGAGGGAGGGACCAGGCTGGTGCAGAGGCACCGCTGGAAGATGGAGCCACCACCTCCCCAAGCTCTTAGATCTCTTTCCCAACTGCAGGTCAGAGTCAGGAGATGAGCAGCTTCCAACGATTTGCCGAGAAGACCCTGAGATACACGGCTACTTCCGAGACCCCCACTGCTTGGGGGAACAGGAGTATTTCAGTAGTGAGGAGTGCTGTGAGGAGGACAGCTCTCCCACCTGGAGCAGGTGAGGGGCTCAGCTTGAGCTGAGTTTAGGAGACCAGCCCTCCCCAACTCTTTCTGCTCCCACTCAGTACTCAACAATACATGGGATTCCTCCGAACATCAAGGGCAGGGCCTTACGTTTGCCTTATTTCACCAGAGGCCTCTGAGACCCTCAGCAAAGGCTCTGAACCCACCATGGCTGACAGACCCCTGTCATTTCAGAGATGAGTTCTTTTTAGGCAGCAGGTATTTTGAGACAGGGACTCCCTATACAGCCCTGGCTGTCCTGGAACTCACTATGTAGACAAGGCTGGTCTTGAACTCAACAGAGATCTGCCTGTCTCCACATCCCAAGTGCTGGGGTTAAAGGTGTGCACTGCCATACCTGGCCTGAGAGATACATTCTTTTTTTTTTTAATTACACTTTATTTTACTTTGTATCCCCCCTCTAGTTCCCTCCCTCCTCCCCTCCTAATCCCTCCCTTCCTTCCCCCCTCTCCACACATGCCCCTCCCCAAGTCCACTGGTAGGGAAGGGTTTCTTTTTCTTCCTTCTGATCCTAGTCTGTTAGGTCTCATCAGGAGTGGCTGCATTGTCTTTCTCTGTGGCCTGGTAAGGCTGTGCCCCCCTCAGGGGGAGGTAATCAAAGAGCAGGCCAATCAGTTCATGTCAGAAGCAGTCCCCATTCCCATTACTGTGGAACCCATTTGGATACTGATTAACAGACTTGGGAACACCAACCTTGGCTGTGTTTGTTTACAAAGCAGCTTGGCTGGTGTCTCAGTGAAATGGCCCCTGCTTCCTGCTCCAATGAAAGGGTCTCTCCTGAAAGTAAGGGGACAAGAGGTTAGAACAGCCTCCCTCAAGCAGAGGTGCCTCTGTCAACTTCTGTCCTGCAGAAAGAATGCTGCTGGGCAAAATGGGCGTTCTGCCGGGCTGGAGACAAGGCTGGGGGTAGAGTACTTGCTGAGCTTGCATGGTGTTCAGCTGGTAGTACCCACATGGCATCTCCCAGCTATCACTCTAGTTCCTGGGAGTTCTGATGCCCGTTTCTGATCTCTACCAGCGCTGTATGTAAAAGGCACACTATACACACACACAAAACCACACACATATAATTTTTTTTAAGTCTTTTTAGAAAAAGAAACAGATACTTTGCTTTAGGACATTGCAGCCAATTCAGGAGGACAAAATTACCTATCACCATGCTCCCTAACCTACAGATCGCTGTCTTCTCGGGCTGGGGCCACGAACCTGAAATGGTGCTACAGTGAGGTCATGTCTCGCACCTGAGACACAGCCTGACCCTCCCCTGTGCTCTAACAGACCCTTTCCCACCACCTCCCTTCAACACCCAACTCCCACACTCAGTAGTTTGGAGCCAAAATGAACCTGTGAATCCCACTTCTGGGGCTTATTCATCCCCGATCCTTAGCTATCTCTGCTGGTGTCCGTCTCCGTTAACAGCAGCAACAGGCAAGCCTTTCCATTTTCCTTTTTGGAATTGAAACATGCCTCTCAAACAAGAACCCAACCTAGGAGCCTACCATGGCCTCCCCTGTTTCTCATGTTGGACTGAGCCTGCATGCTGATGGTATTCTCCAAGCCCCATGCCCTGCCAGGTCCTGCAGAGGCCAAGTCTTTGGGACAGTGGTCTCCAAGAGATGAAGGAAGGGCAGCAGGCCAACAGCGTTTGTGTGATCATCTGCTTTGGGCCTGTGCCTGCCTGGACATGAAAAGAACTTTTGAGTGACTTATCACAAGCCTCCAGCACCAATTTCCTGAGATGGTCCTTGTTCTCCACCTTGAAGCTTCCTGCCATGACCTAGTGACTGCAAAGAGAGTAGGACAGGGCTTGTCAGAACTAGGTCAAGGCTTGTTGCCCAGAACCTCATCTGTACCTTCTTGTTTTTCTCTCGCCAACTGCCAGGCAAAATTACAGCTATTACAGCAGGTACCCAGGCAGCTCCATGGACTTTGAGAGGCCCCGCGGCTACCATCACCCCCAAGGTTTCTCAGAAGACGATGACTCGCCCGTCGGCTATGATTCACGGAGATCTCCCAGGAGACGCCTTCTGCCTCCCACCCCACCATGTGAGGCCAGCCTTCTTGTTTAGGGTGAAGCCTCCCAGAGAGCACCATGCCTGCCCCTGTCCAACCCCTGAGATAAATGGCGGATCTGTGATTCCAGGGAGAGGTGCCTAACTCTTAGGGCTAGCCAGTACTCCAGCAGACAGTGCTCTTCTGTCTATCATCTGTACCCCCATAACTGGTTCTCTCAGAGAAAAGAGAGAGGTACACTGTAGCCCCAAACTTTCACACACCCAAGAAGAGGCTTTTTGTGTCCAAGGGCATTGCCTTTGAGCTTGTGTCCATCCTGAGGTTCATATAGTCAGCCCAACTCTCCCACTCCACAGTGGGGAAACTGAACCTCTGAGGGCAAGGATGAATTCAGATGCAGAGTTTACTGGCCTGGGACTGATTTCGGAGCCCCTGCCCCTGACAGGCCTGGCCCTCCTTCTTTTCCTCCCCTCACTCAGGCACTGCTCTAGATATACCATTGTCCTCTGCTCACAGGGGACAGTACGGGGCTTTGGCTGGTCTCCAGAAGGAGCGTGCCCCTTCTGGCCCAGGGAAAATCGAGGGCTCTCCTTTTCCCTATAGCTGTGGTTACCTCCAAGGCTCTGCCAGCCCCAAAAGGGCAGTTGAATTCTGCCAAGTGTGGGTGTTTTATGATGATTAAGAATGCCCATTTCTTGTGTTTCTGGGGGATAGGAAGCTTAATTGAGGATTCTGTTTAGTAACCAAAAACAGCTGAAACCCAGGAGCTCCTGAACCTGGCTGCGCATATGGGAAAGAACGTGGTTGGCCATGCCCCGCTCCAGCTGTCATAGCCTGCTGGAGTGTAGACACAACCATTTGCGTATTTAATATTTAATTAGCTCCTAATGCACACTGCTAAATGAAACCTTCCCTTCAGCAGCCTTCCCTTCCCCAGAGACAGCCAACAAAAAAGGTATAAGTGAGGCCCACCAGAGGTCCATTGCTCCTTGGTTCCTGCTACCTTCTTCAGGTCTTTCTCTTCACTTATTCCCCACCTATACAGCCTAGGGGGACACTTGAGTGCCCTGTTCCCTGACCCAGCCTGAGCCCATAGCAGAGGATAGCCTGGTCAGGCAGAGCTAGCCACCTCCTTCATCTGGAAGGGCATTGGCTCTGCTGTCCAGGTTGCAGACTAGGGGCGGGGGGGAACAGCTTGTTACACTGGCCTGTATTCTTAGCCAGTGGGGGAGGGCATACGAAAGAGCTATATCTTCCAGAGAGAGACAGTAGGGCTGGGCTCACTTGGGTGAGGGAGCGTGGGGCGGGCTTGTATGGGATGGGTTGTTTTTCTTATGGTTCTGAACAGCTGGCCTGTTCAGATCTTGGCGTCTAGAGGTTGTGCTGACCAAGAGGCCCATTTTCTGTTGTCACACCAGTTATCAGGCAAGGAGTGGCTTTCTTTATAAGCAGGTGGCAGCTCCACTGGGAGGTCCCAGCATACCAGTGAGCACTGATCTTGAGTACATTACTGGCTCTGCTTTGTCTCCACTGGGCATTGCCACCCAAGAGCTTAGCCAATTCTTCATTTGCAGACCTGTTTGTAAAGCTTTTTGCGAGGTCCAAAATGTCTGGGAGGCTTCTTTGGGCCGAGTCCCTGAGGATCTCCCATACATGCACTGAGGTCATGCAGAATTTTGCTGGGCTACAAGAGCCCAGCAGCTCAAAAGGTGTAGTTGGATCAATGCAAAGCACAGATAGGGCTCCCTGAAGCCCACAACAGGGTGGAAGGGCTTCTAGGACCCTACTGGCTCTGCCAAAGGATCCCAGAACTCTAAGCCTAATGTACCATAAATTCGAAAGCTGTGGATCATCAGGGAGCTTCTATCTGCAACTATCAGCACATGGCAAGCTCTTAGATGTGCTCACATCTAGGCCAGGGAAGGTAGGTTTTTCCAAGCAAAGACATTGGTTATTTTGCTTGGTTAAGCTGATCAGCCAGATCTCTCGTTTTAAAACAGAGGCTTAAATAGGGGACCGCAGAAAGATGCAGAGCGTTTGGAGGGCAGGGCTAGTACAACATGAAATGTCTAAGCTTCTAGAATGGGTCTCTGCAGTAGATCCCAGGTCTTGTGACTCACTACAGATTCCCCTGGGCTGTCTGAGAGCTGGCGAACATTTGAAAAGTGATTCGTTGCTGCTACCTTTCAGAAACATCCCAGCTCCATTTGGTCCTCCCATGCCTAGTTGGGGGTTGTGTAACTGTTTCTCTTGGATAAGTCGGGAGGCCTGCTTCTTCCTGACTCTTGAGACACACTGTCCAGACAGGACTCGCATCACCACATGTGTGTGCTTCCACTCCGCAGCCCATCGGAGGTCCTCCTTCAACTTTGAGTGTCTGCGCAGGCAGAGCAGCCAAGACGATGTCCTTCCATCACCTGCCCTGCCTCACCGCGCTGCCCTGCCTCTGCACCTGATGCAGCAGCAGGTGAGGGCCTCTGGCCACCCTGCCCAGGGTCCCACCTGGGATGCACTCACTTCTTCCCGGAGGAAGCGGAGAGCCTGCACCTTCCAGTCTGGTTGTACTTTGGGCGGCCCTCCCTGGTAGATCCCCCAGGACCCATCCTGCTGGAGTTCCACATTCAGCAAAGGGTAGACTGGGCATCCTTGGATCCCACCCTTCCCATCATAGAACACTGGGGCTGGCCCAGCCTGAACATAGAGCAGTGCAGCCACTTGTCGTATTATCAGCAATGGCTGCTATTAATTATTTCCTCAGAGAGGTGGTTCCTCCGCTAAGCCACTTGAGCAGCTTCTTGTGTGGGGGCCCTCTGGTCACGAGGGTGGGTAACCTTCCTCTGTGGGTTAAGGGGGCTACCAGCCCACAAGAAAGGCAACTGAGGCAGAGATCAGAGCCCATTCCCCAGGGTCTTAAGAATAGGTGTGTGTGTGGGGGGGGGGTGTATATTTTTTGAACTATCATCAGAGATGCTATGTGGGGTGATTAATCAAGGGAGATGGGAGAAACCTCCAGCCAGCCAACCAGCTACAGACCCGGATCTCTGAGGTTCTGACTCTAAGCTCTGAACACATTAGTTCTCAGTTGCCATTGCAGATTTCTAGTCACTTCTTCCAGCACCTATTCCTAAGACCCTGGTGAATGGGCTCTCATCTCTGTCTCAGTTGCCTTTCTTGTGGGCTGGTTACAGCCATCTGTAATTCCAGTTCTGGGGATCTAATGCCTTCTAAACCCCAGTGGCACCAGACTTGCATGAATGCAGGCAAAACATTCATACGTGCTGTAAACTACCATGGTATTCTGGGAATTGAATTTGCTTCCTCTGGAAGATAAATCGGTGCTCTTGACAAGGATCTCGTTTGCCTGTTATCATCATGGAAGAAAGATGAAATTTTTGAAATCTGAGAACACCAAATACCATAGCTTAAACAGTCAGGGAGGGCCTAAAGGGCCTGTGATCCACCAGGCGCAGGCCCAGGTCTTGTCTCAGCAACTGGCCTGGGCTGGCCTGGATTCCTTGGCTACAACTACAGTGTCAATGCAAACAGGTTGTTGGTGGCTCTCCCATGGAGGGCATGTGAGAATCAAGGCTGTGCCCAGAGTTTCAGGGCAGAAAGAATGCTCAGTGCAGGCTGAGAGGCACTGGAGCAGAGGGAAATGATGGTTGTCCTGGAAGAGCCAGAGTCCGTGGATTTCTCTGAAGTGTGTTTCAGTATTGAAGCCCAGAGAGGCCTAGGTAGTGTGTTCACATACCGTAGCTTATTCATCTTCCCAATTCTTCCTCATCCCGAGGTAACGATGTAAGTTTGTAACTGACAACTCAGTCATGGAGAATGCCTATGGCTTTGAGGAAGAGGAAACTCACTGCTAGGAGGCCCCTGTCCCCTGCAAGCTCACAGAGCTGTCTCTGCTACACTTGCATTTTTTTCCTATTCTTCTGAGAGGCAGAACCGCAAAGCAGCCAGCCACATGCCAGACTGGGGCCATGGCTCAGACCTCTGAGCCTTCCTTCTCTCTCTTTCCTTCCTCAGATCATGGCCGTCGCAGGCCTCGATTCCAGTAAAGCCCAGAAGTACTCACCGAGCCACTCTACGAGGTCATGGGCCACCCCTCCAGCAACCCCTCCCTACCGGGACTGGACCCCATGCTACACCCCCTTGATCCAGGTGGACCGCTCAGAGTCTCTGGACCAGGTCAATGGCAGCCTGCCATCCCTCCACCGCAGTTCCTGGTACACAGATGAGCCAGACATCTCCTATAGGACTTTCACACCAGCCAGCCTGACTGTCCCCAGCAGCTTCCGTAACAAAAACAGTGACAAGCAAAGGAGTGCAGACAGCCTGGTAGAGGCGGTGAGTGGGGGTGGCTTTTGACCTTTGGACAAGTCCCAAAACAGCAACAGAAACAGGAGAACCTCACATGAGGAGGGAACGGTGGTGATGGGGGGGGGGGGGGGGCCTCTGCAACCGTGTCGCCTGAGGGAGGCTTCTTAGCAGCAGGTGTGGTATTTAAGACCCGACTGAAAACCGGCTGGCGTTGTCAAGTCCCATCATCTTACCAGTCTGTGCCACATTTCCCGAATGGTTCCACTCTTTGTCAGCTCTTTGACATTGGCAGAGCCGAGGTCATGTGTAAAGTCTAGCAGACATGGCTGATGGTGTCCCTACAGCATGCCATGCAGTGAGGGCTCAAGTGGATCTTTCCACTCACTCCATTGATCCTCTTTCCTGTACAGGTCCTGATCTCTGAAGGCTTGGGACGCTATGCAAGGGACCCAAAATTTGTATCAGCAACAAAACATGAAATTGCCGATGCCTGTGACCTAACCATAGATGAAATGGAGAGTGCAGCGAGCACTCTGCTCAACGGCAGTGTGTGTCCTCGAGCCAATGGGGACATGGGCCCCATCTCACACAGCCAGGACTATGAACTCCAGGACTTTGGTCCGGGCTACAGTGATGAGGAGCCAGACCCTGGGCGAGAGGAAGAGGACCTGGCAGATGAAATGATCTGCATTACCACCTTGTAGCCCAGTGAGGGCAGGCTGGCTCCCTCCTGAGACGGGCACAGGAGGGCCAGGGATAAAGTGCCTCATAGTTAGGAAAGGTTAGGCACCGATCGGGAGAAAGATGCTCAATTAGACTTTTGTACAAGTGATACCATGCCTCATGGAAGCCATAAACCTGGTAGGAACAGGCTCTTAGTGGCCAAGCATGTGGTATGTCACGCAGTCGGGCCCAGCCTCAGAAGATTACGGATGGGTGAGGAGGGCGGCCTGGCCTGCACCAAGGCCAGAAGGGCTGCCCAGGAGTCCACGTCTCACACCCAGGGCACGTGCCCACCAGCCTGAAGACAGGGGGGAGAGAGAGGTTAAAGGTGATGACAGTCACCACACCTGTGTCATTACCTCAGCCATCGGTCTAGCATATCAGACACTGGGCCCAGCAAATCCATTTCCAACATCCCATCCCCCAACACACTGCTTCCTAGTTCCCGTGCAGCTGTTCTGAACGGTACGCAGGAGTACCCAGCTACTAGTGGCCATGACAAGGGGAGTGGGACCGGACAGTTCCATTAAGCGATGCCAGTTTACATGAGAGAACGTCACTCAGACGGTCAGGTCTGTCACACTAAGGGCAACTGTAAACTGGAAGAGTACCGCACTTGCAAACCAGGTAAAACTTAGATACGTTAGTTTGTTTAAAAATTAGAGATTTACTGTACATGACTTGTAATATACAATTTGTATTTGTAAAGAGATGGTCTATATTTTGTAATTATCGTTCCGTATTTGAACTGCAGCAATATCCACGGGTCCTAACAATTGTAGTTTCCCACCAAAATCTAGAAATTAGTATTTTTACTTGGGCTAAACAGAACTTGGAGAATTAGAGCCAATCCTCACATATTCAGTAAAAGAATCTTTTGGGGATAAACTTTTGAGTTCAAAAGAACTTGACACTTAAGAATTTTTTCTAAGCTATTTTGAGTCACTATAAACCTATCTTTCCATAAGATGCTGTCGACTACTTGCAGTCCTTTCTTTGGGTTCTCTGATTTTATATTGTACCTCTTATCCACCTGGGTTGCACCTGTCTTTGGTTTGGTTTCACTTTAATAATTCTCTGGTCAGTTAGTTATATAGCAGGTCCAGCTGGCTACTCGGCCCAGTGGCATCCACTGACCTGGCTTCCTCAGCTGCCCAGGCAGGATGCGTCTGGGTCTCTGAGGCAGGAGTTACTGTACAGGCAAGCGGCGCACACCTGCTCACATCCCTGAGGATGCTTAAAAAATAAGAAGTGCTGGCTTTGGGGGAGGGGAGCGCTGTGGCGACCTATGAATGTTGGGGTCAGGACAGAGCCCTGTTGCCTTGCACAGCCGCTGTGCAGTGTGTCTTCTCTGAGAGCTGTCACATGCAACTGAATGAGGGCTGAAGTTCTCATGAGGATACACGCACTGACTGCACGCCTGGGGACAGTGGGCTCTGGGGTCATTAGAACTGTCAGGTGTCCCTCTCTGTCAACAGTCATGTGACATCACCCCATTACTTTGCTAAGGGTTCTCTGCAATCAAAAATACAGGTAGCAGTTTGAGTTCAGAATTTTTAACTAGTACACAGACAACCTGTGGAAACATATTTTTTTTTTTTTTTTTGTAAATAAATTTTGTCATAAAGACCTTACAAACCTCTTCTGAAGACATTCTTACTCCAGATGCAGGAAACAAAACAAAACAAAACACTTCAAGGTTTGTAAATGACTATTTCCTGACACAAAGCCTTTTTTATTAAAATGCAAACTGTTCTTCAGAGTAAACTGTGTAATAATTTCATTGTATGGGGAGCTCTCTTCACACAGCTGGCTCTGCCATGAGAGCTTTAGGCAGCTTTTTTTTCTGCCCTCGGGCTCCCCCGAGGCTCAAGGTAACTTCACACCAGCTGCAGAGTGCGCTGTTCTCCTAAAGGGCTAAACCACCATCAGCGTTTACCTTGGACTCTTGTCTGTCTGCCTGTGCGACTGGTAACATCAGCCTCTCACACTCACCACGTGTTCGGTCGTTCGGTGGGGACGGCTGACTATCTTTCCCAGAGTCCACCCGTCACTGCTGCCTGGCTTTCCAGGCTGCACCACCTCACAGTATGTCTGCTTCCAGCCTGGTTCAACCTCTCATCTAATATTAAATTTCTCTTTGCAAGAAAAATTCGAAGTTGTAGAGCATGTTTTTTTCCCCCCTCTTTAAGGAAGTTTTAAGACGAAATGCTTCTGCTTTCCCGCCCCACCCCCTAGGTGATTTTGAGTTCTTTGGAATACTGCACTTAGTTTAAACTCATGCTTTTAACGACTTTAGGAAGTGTGGAAATCGCTGTGATCTGCTAATCAACAGCAAAAGCCTCCTTTGGAATGTCCGCTGGGTACGTAGACCTGCCCCTAGCTCTAGAGGGGTGCACTCTGAGGCCGTAGCCCTAGCCACCTGAGGAGACTCTAGCCGGGCACACTACCTGCTAGACCAGCTCGATTCCATGCTGTGTGTTGTTGAAGATCTAAGATCTTCGTTGTTTCCGTTTTTATTTTGGGGATGGAGTGTTGAGGTTTACTTGTAAAAAGTTACGCATCATGGGCACACCTCCCCCACAGAAACACCCACTCCAGCTCTTCCTTCTGGGAACTGGAAGGGCAGTGGAGAAACAGGGAGGGTCTCAGTCTCTGGCCTCTGAGAACAAGGGTGAGGGAGGGCTGGTAGAAGAATGGGCAGCAGAGGTGGCAGCCCAGCCAGGAGGGGCCACCCAGGCCAGCAGCTAACAGATAGGGGTAGATCAGGTTCTTTTATCCAAAAATTTTGAAGATTAAAAAAAAAAATCTTTGCATTAGATTTGATGTTGTGGTAGTTTATCAGTGGAAATATGAAAAACCTTGAGGCCTGAGGGATACGGTGTGGTGGGTGAGAAGAATCAATTTGAATTTATGGAAATTACCCTGCAGCTGGCACTGGAGGCAGAAGGGCTTGTGTGCTTTCACCACCTGCTTCTGTGACTATTTCTGGTCCTACTGGCAAGTTGTTCCTGTCTCCCTCCATGATCTGTTACCCTGTCAGGCACTTGGCCAGCAGTGAGATAGGCCCAAGTTCCACCAACACGGCACGGCTCCCCACTCAGCTGTGGGCACACGTGCAGTTTTTTCTTTTTGATGCTAGGTAGGGGTCAACCCTGGGCCGTATGCTTACTAGGAGTGTGTGTACCAGTTTTGGCCTTCCATGTTTTAGGTATTACAGGCCCCTTGCCAAGGAGCCTACGTAGCTAATGAAGGCTGTCCAGTTTCCCATGAGAATCAGTCTAACATGGCCTGGGTAAAGCCCACTTTAGAACTTGCATCATTCTGGCTTCCTTGCCCTGGCACTTGGCCCAGACACTGAAGGCAGAGCTCTCCTGTATGTTCTTCTGTTCTGCTTGGGCTGCAAACAGGAGCTGCCATTAGCGCTTTAGCAAGGGACCCAACACCATCTGTGAGTTCTGGGCATGTAACGTTTACCTCCAGAAACTCATTTCCTTATGTGGCTAAACCATGTCAACATGTGGAATGGGCCTTGGTATGCCAGAGTAAGAGAAAGACCGGGGATGTGACTGAAGAGCGTGCCAGAATTTACCTCCTCTCGTAGAACACTGCCATGCTGAGCAGAACACGCCTCCCCAGGGTGCTGGCTACACTGCGGATGCTACAAATGACTGCCGTGTGACACCTGCTTTTTCAGAATCTCTTGGCAGGCCTAGGAGTTTCTTTCCTGGCCTTCTTTTGGAACAGGAAAAAAGAAAAGGCAAGGTGCAGGTGGGATGAAACAAGAGCAGCCTGGTTTTCAGAGTAAGTGTAGTGGTTGATACCTTCCTTTTTCAACCTTTAGAAGGGTCTTTCTCAGATGCAGCTCTCTGGATGCAGAAGTTCAGAGGGCAGTTCATGCCACTCCCAGTCAATCCTAGTGGAGCCTGGGATCCTGACATTCCCCCTCCAACCTTGGCCCAGCAACATAGCGTTCCATACTGTGATTCTTCCCCACTGGAGATGATGGCTTTAGACATACTCAGAAGTAATCTAATCCAAAGCGCATTTGATCTTCATTCTCTTGTAAGAACAGTCAGAGTGAGGCATCTTGGTCCACAAACAAGTTACTGGATCACATGGAACTTATGAGGGAGTTATGAGTCAAAGAGCTCTTGCAAATGCTACTGACATCTGTTCCCCAACCCAGGCTCAAATACCGGTCGATTTATCTCTCACTCCATTGTTCTTTGCTGTTCTCTGTCATCCTCAGTGCCATGCTGACTGTCTCCATGTCTAGAGAATAAGAAATGGCCAACCGCATCTGCAGAGTGGCTGTGGTGTCTGGACCACTTCCAGGGCCACCATGAAAGGTCCTCTTAGGCTCACATCCTTGGCATGAAGTAGTCACCTGGCCTGCAGGACTGGCTCTATATTACTGCATTTTTTTTTTTTTGTCTGTGTGGCAAGGGTTACATAATAAAATCTTCAGCAGTAAGGCCAAAATGACCTTTTCTTGACTAATGTCCTGCAAGCCGCCTCTTCTAGACTGTTTCATAAGAACCAGAACCAGAGAGGTGCGCATGAGTTGTACAGTCACCTGAGCCCACATCTGTGCACCTCACTCTTCTTATTTGAACCAGGGTAGGAGAGGAGTGAAGAAAAGGTACCTCCAGCTGGTTGCCTCTCCCTCTGATCATGGACATGAGCTCAGGTGCCAGCCCTGGCTGAGCTTCTATCTTGCCTTTGGCCTCAATTAAAGCTTCTTTGGAGAGCTCAGGCCAGTTCAACCATTTTGCATTTGCAGAAATGGCTTTTGGTGGGAGACCAGGGGAAGGATCATTCCACTCCTGACAGCAGAACACTGGGCTGGAGATGGCTAGAGGACAAGAGAGACAAAATCCATGGGGAGAGCTAACCTCCCTGTTAACCTCAGGAGGTCAGGAGGAGGGCCCTCAGACACTGTAAAAGGGAAGTTGCCTCCCTGGCTACCATGGCCTCATTTCCTCAGACACCATGAAAGTCTTAGCCAGGAGTAGGGGCATCTGGGCCCCAAGATTCTACACAGTTTTGGGAAATAATCTGGGGCAGAGCTGTACTAGTTGGATCTCTTGGCTTGACGTGAGTTCCTCTGTCATCCTCAGGCAGTGGCTGCCTTAACGCTGGGTGGCCAGAGTCTGTGGCTTGTAGACAGGAACATCCTTGTCCCAGAGTTCAGGGCACCCCTTAATGATGTCCGCTGCTTTCTCTGCAATCATTATAGTAGGAGCGTTCAGGTTGCCGCTGACCACACTGGGCATGATGGAGGCATCAACAACTCTGAGGTTTTCTACCCCAAGGACCCTGGTTTGCCGGTCGACCACGGCAGTGGGGTCAGAGGGCTGGCCCATCTTACAGGTGCAGGAGGGGTGGTAAGCACTGTCTGCTTTTGCCCGCACAAAGGCATCTATCTCTTTGTCTGACTGGACATGGCTTCCAGGCTGCAGCTCTTTGCCCCGGAAGGGAGCAAAGGCTTCCTGTGCAAAAATTTCTCTGCTAAGTTTCACACATTGACGGAAGTCCTCAACATCGGTTTCTGTGGAGGAGAAATAAATGAGGCTCCCCTTCTTTCACCCTGCTGGCCAAGTCAAATCAGGGGACAAAGATCAGGGACACAGAGAACCAAGCTGCAGATGCTTGTCACCTGCCCAGAGGCAGCGACTGGCAACCAAGCATCCTTGACAAACAATGCCACAAGAGGTCCAGGTTTGTCTGAGTTCTGGCATCTCTGCAAACCAGAAATAAGGATGTACAATCTCTCTGCTCCCTTGTGGCTGTCAAGCCCTCATACCATGGTGGGGCGGGTGGGGGTGCCTAAAACCTTCCTCTTGAGTATTTGTGCTATATGCAAAGAGGCCTGGGTCTGCGGCCTGCTCTTAATGCTGAAAGTCAGAGCAGGAAAGACCAGGCAGGTAATAGGCGCAGGTCTGGTGCTTGTACCGCCTGCAGATGGCTCTGAAAGTGGTACCTATGTCCTGCTATGCAAAGTGGGGCCCCAGGCTGCTTATGTGGCCCAGAACTGAGGGCAACCCTGGTGTTAGGATCCAGAGTAAGGATTAGGGACAAACAGGAGCCATGTAGAACTTCCTTAATTCTGTGCCTCTATACCAGGCCTAGAAGACACGAACGAAGCTTCTGGGTTACCTGTGGACAAGTAGTTGGGCTGAATCACAGGGTGGTCTCGAGGGTCGGTGCTTCGCAGTTTGAGCCAGCCCACACTTGTGGCCCTCATGGTTCCCACGTGTACCTACAAGGGTCCAGAAGAGCCTTGTTCAAAGTAGTCAAAGTACTACTTTCAAAGTACTTTACAGTTCAAAGTAGTCTCCATTAACTACAGCACAGAAGCTCAGAGAAGCCCAGGTTCCCTGTGGGCGGGGCCTCAGCATTCACTGTGCAGAGCAAGGGTTTAGTGTCTGACCCTCTTGCAACCACTCCATCCCCGGTCTGGCCTCTACTCCCTTGTCTGAAACTTTCGTAGGATGATCCCGGGGCTGAGGTAGTTTTGCCTGTTGTCACTGGTACAGATGCTGCCCTCTACACATCCTGTGGACTAGCTCCTGGGCTCTCTCCCTGGGGTCAGGTTTAGGCACCCTATCCTCTTCCATTCAGACAGAAGCCACTGGGGTCTACACTGTAGGACAGATATCCCGATGAAAACCTATTCTAAGGCAGAAGCAGGAAGGCAGGCCTAGTCTCTGGCTCTCTGCATACCTGGTAAGCTTCCTGCTGGGTGGGTTTCCGACCATGGTCAATCACTTGTGATGGCAGGAAGTGGAACTGGATGTCTGGATGCGGTACCCCAGGCCGGCTGCGGATGAACCCTCCCGTCTCCAGGTGGGCTGTGGCTCCATCCCCTGAAATTCACAAGCGGAGGAGCCAGTCAGGCTGTGGCAGGTGTCCCTCTCCTCCCCTGCCTGTCTTCCTAGGCTTGGCGCTCGGCATCAAGGTGTGTACACAGCTTCCTTCTTTCTCCAGGTGACCTCACCCAGCACTGCAACTTCAAATAGCAGCTATCTGCTAAGCGAGGAGCTTTGGGTCTGCAAAGTCTACCTGGTTTATGAGCCCTTCCACATCCTGCTCTGTAGGTGTCACATGGAGCCAGGCTCCTGTGCTCAGTCCCTTGATACTTCTGCCCCTTGCCCCCTCACAGCAGCCTGTCAGACAGGACCTTTGTGCTCTCACCTCACAGAAGGAAAAATGGGCTTGGGTGTCTGTCATCCATCTTTATACCTAGCAACCCAAGGCCCATCTCTGCCCGCAGACCACAGCCACCTAGGTCACCAGGAGCAGGCCCACCTGTGAACTTCCAGAGCCACTCCAGACCGATGCAGGCCTTCCGCAGAGGCTTCTGGGCTGAGTGGAGGGTGATGGGACGTGTGCACGCCTGCTGGATGTAGACCTCCAGGTGGTCTTGCAGGTTCTGGCCAACTCCTGGCACAGGAAGGAGTGGTTAGAAAAAACTGGCTAATGCAGGGGAGAACCCCTGGTTTTGGGAACTTCTCCTCAGTCCAGTCTTTTAAGCCAGTTACTGCTGGCCGTGGCCCCTGCTTAGAGACACTGCTTCCACCTCTTAGACAAGTCTGGCCCTTTCTCAAATGCTGCCAAAGCCTGTCACTCCCTCTACAGCAGTCAGTCAGGTGCCCTTGACTGGCCCTCTTCAGCAGCACCCTCCAAGGACAGGGCCCACAGTTACAACAGGTACTGCTTGGTAAGTGTCACTGTGTGTCTGTTGTCCAGATTAACAGTTGTCAGCCCCGTCGTCTCCCCTAGTCTGCTGAAGGAAGAAACAGCCCCAGCATGCTGTGCAGACTCTACTTAAGCAGTCAAGGCACAGACCACTTTCATAGGCCTTTCTAGGAAAGCTCCCTGTGAAAGGCCAGCCCCTTGTATAGGGAGGATGACGAAAGAAACAAGCCCAGCCCTCAAGGACATCCCAGACAGTTACAAGATGAAGCTTATGAGTTTTACATGAACAGTGGCTCTGGAGCCCTGAGCTGGCCTCCCTTGTGCTCAGAGCAGCTAGAAATCTTGGAGACAGACCTCTAGCACCACAGACCTCTCCTGGCAGTTGTCTTAGCCTTATTCCTGTTACAGGATGCGCTACTAAAGGGCACAGAGGCTGACTAGGGGAGAGTGAAGGAAAACAGCATAAAGATCCAGAATGCAAGAGGGCCTCATATTTATAGGAAGGAAGGACATGACACTTTCAAGAAGTGCCACCTCCTCATTCCAAGCTGCTGGGTTTGGAGAGGGAGCTCACCAGGCAGATGGCATACCACAGGGATGCCCAGTTTCTTGAGGTCCTCTGCATTCCCAACACCAGAGAGCATGAGCAGCTGTGGAGAGTTGATGGCACCCCCACTCAGGATCACCTCCTTGCTGACGTAAGCCTGGAAGAGGCAGGGAAGCACCAATCACACGTCTCGGAAAGCCAGCTGTTCTACGGCCTCATGGAGAGGCGCCCAGTTCTAGTCACTACCACAAGAACGTGGCACCAGGAAATGACACCACTGTGGAGACTCTGCTCCCAGGTCCTAGAGAGAGTGGGGGGGGGCTTGCTGCTTGGCTACTTAAAAGCAATCTGCACAGAGTCACCACGGTATGACTCCCAGCAGTAGCTGTAACAGTGACAGGGGCCTTAGAAGCAGGGTTGGCCAGAGTTCAGGTAAGGTGATTCCATAACTAGAGGGAACAAAACAGGCAGATCTCCTGAGAGGGCGGGTGGGGCGAGGCTGTCTCTGGCACATTGCCGAGTGAAGAAAAGCACCATGTATTGATAGCACATGGCTACATTTGTTTAGACGTTACTAGGGGACTGCTGTGGAGTGTGTGGCAGACAGACGCTTACGGAGGCACGAGGGGGGCGTCTGACAGCTGTTGTCTTGTGTGACCCCAGGGACAATCCTGTCACTGGTGCCATCTGTCAACCCATTGGAGGGACAAGAAAGAGCACGTGGCTGCGTGGGCAAGAGCAAGAGCCTGACTGCCAGGCCGCTGCCTATCCCTTCATGCCCCGGGAGTCCCTCCCACGGGGGTCAGCTCACCTTGTGGCTCTGGCCGTTCTTGAAGTACTCCACACCCACTGCACGTGTGCCCTCAAATAGCACTCTGTTCACAAGCGCCTGCGTCTCCGCCTTGAGGTTGGGGCGGCTCAGTGCGGGGTGCAAGTAGGCACAGGCTGTGCTCCAGCGCTTCCCTGAAGGGCGGAGCAAGATTCCCCTCGTACCTGGGCAGGACGGACTTGCTGGAGAAAGCAAATCTATCCTGCCCTTGACAATGCAAGGCCTGCCTTCAAGGGGTGCCTGTGACCCGAATACCGTACCCTGCAGCCCGGGCTACTGACAGCCCCAACGATTGCTCTTCCCTGCTGTGAGCAAGGCCCTGTAGTATTCCCTGCTCTGTGTCTACTTGGCCCTGTCTACAAAGAGGTGATGGCTGAGAGGATACGTAGTCTTGTGCTGTCTCTTTCTGCCTCAGCTTGCTCATGTGCAAGTCTCTTCGACACCGTGGGCCTTTCATCACACGGCTGTTTCTTCACTCTTCCAGAGCCTCTCCTACCCTCAGCCAGGCCACTGTGTCTGCCCTGGCCTTAGGCAGCACAGGACTGAAATCCCTACCTCTCTCAGCTTCCTAGATCTGTGGTTGTAGGGTTAGACCGCCCCATCCCGGCTGCGCAGGCCCCTGGGGACTCCGCAGTCACGCCTGCTGCGTCACATGGCCTAGAGGCTCATGGAACACCCAAGTAATTGGGCTGCGTCCTGAAACACCCTCTCACCTAACACCAGCCTTATTTTGGCACTTACTGGCTATGACAGAGTCAAGAGGGATGACTGTAATTAGGGGGGAAATAATCAAAGGTCGGTACCTTGGTGGACGGTCATGTCCATCCAGCCGAAGCCCTCCTGTTGGAAGCCATTCATGTCTTCGGTGAGCGGGTAGCCAGCCTGATGTGCTGCCTGTAGGAAGGCCTGGTGAAGGGGGTGGTTGGTCTTGCCCCGAGACACGTGCAGTGGGCCATCGCCACCTCGATACCTGTTGGCACCCAGCTCGTGCCTCTGCGCTTTGCGGAAGTAGGGCAGGCAGTGTGCATAGTCCCAGCCCTCGGCACCTTGGCGGTGCCAGCGGTTGTAGTCCTCGGCATGTCCGCGGATGTAGACCATGGCATTGAGGGATGAGGAGCCCCCCCAGACCCGGCCTCGCGGCCAGTACAGTACACGGCCATCCATGCCGGGCTGCGCCTCGGTGTAGTAGTACCAGTTGTATTTGTCATCACACAGGTTGGCCACAAGGGCAGCAGGCATGTGGATCTTCCACTGGAGCCGCTTGCTCCCCATCAGCAAGTCCTTGGGCCCTGCCTCCAACAGCAGCACCCGACAACTCGGGTCCTCGCTGAGCCGATTGGCTAGCACACAGCCAGCAGAGCCTGCGCCCACCACCACGAAGCTGTACTCATCCTGGCCAGCAGAGGCGGCACTGGCGATGGCCCGTGTGCAGGGTGGCCGTGGCTGGCCCTCCACAGCCCAGGCCAGGGCTCCACGTGGGCTCAGACATGCCCCCCTCCAGCCTCTCAGGACCTGCCACATGCTTCCAGCCCAGCTCCTCTATCCACGGATGGCAGGAACGGGAAGACTCTCTTCCTAGAACAGGGAAAAAAAAAATGGTTTTAAACCTCTAAACTCTATGGCATATGCAGAAACAGTCTGGAGCTAGGTGGCCATGCTGACACAGCAAAGAAGCTGCCTATCTTGGGCAAGGTCGGCCCTGGGGATCTAGAAGTTGGGGGAGGAATTTCATTATGGAGACTGGAGTTGGGGAAGAGGGGAGGCCCCTCCACAGGCTTGGGGTGGGGGTGGGAGGCATCCCTGGCCAACTTCCCTGTGATATCCACAGGAACTTGGAGACTGGGCATCTAGCTGATGAAGGGGAGGAAGGCTCTCCAGCCTGACAGACAAGGGGCTGTCCTCCCCTCTTCAGGCAGGACATTGCATTTGATTACAGGGATACACCAGAGGGGAGAAGCATAAGAGGCCTCCAAATATAGAGGGATGAAATCTCTGGAACGCACAGGCTGAGAGATCCTGGTACTCACCAGGACACAGCACCACAGCCACACTTTGCAAGATCACCTTATGGAGTAGTAGAGTTTTAACAGAGAAATACCAGTGGCTTTTTAAAAAGTATTTTTGAGATTGTATTATAATTAAGTACGACCTGCTCAGTCCAAACAATGTTGCAGGTATAGATATGCCAATGACATTGGTGGTTTCCCTCACCCATGCCGAGCTCGGCATGCTTGCTGCATAGTTGAGAAAAGCCTCGGTATATGCCATTGAACTCCTAGTGACGTGTGAGAACCCCACAGCAACCTCTAGTCCATCTACACCGAGGCTGATACTAAAGGGCTGTAAAGGTCCCTTGTCCCTTTTGGCATGCCTAGATACAGATCGTGACAAATCCCCCCAGCTTTCTCTCAGCCTTGTGTCAGGTAATCAGGGCCTGCCCCAGAAGCAGAGGGAGGCCTGCATGTACAGGAAAAAAAAATAGCAGAGCCTTCTGAGCACTGTGTCTGAAGCAGGAACTCTTCACAGAGGCCCCCACCTCCAGCTCCAGGCCCCATGTGAGCACAGGGGAGCAGTGCTCAGCTCTCCGGTAGATGGACTCATCCTCCGAATAAGGCCCCGCCAGGATAGCTATGTCCTTTGTAAACAAACACCACTTACACCAGTCACTGCTAGCCCGTTACAGACTAGTCAGTATTCCATAACAACTGAGTAACATCTTACAAAGCGAGAAAGCATGCACCAGAACCAGACCTGCTCCTGTCAGAACTGTCAAACAAAGACACCACACAAGTCACGATAACAGCCATTAGAATGTTGAGCATAAAAATTTCAAGAAACAATTGGTATGTAATGGAAGCTTTGGTTTCTTTGTAAACTCAGTTATGTTATGTACGTATGTTTTTGTTTTAATCCCAAGTGTGGGGTTTTAGTCAGCTTTAGTTTGTCCACAGCTGTTAACTGTCTCGTGTGGGTGTGGCTCCTGCCAGCTGGATGAGGGTGTGGGCTAGAACTCTGAGGACGTAAATAAGAACCCAGAAAGAGAAGGTGTGGTGTGTGGTATTGGCATGTGGCCTGCAGCAGTTTGGAGAGACCAGAGGCAGTGTGGTGGTTTGGAGCAGACAGACGGGAGAAATGCCCTGGGGATAGCAGCTTGGGGGAGACTTCTGGCTGCCTTGGCTGTGGACAGAGATTGGTATATTCCCCAAAGAAAGGAGCCTGTGCCCCCTCTCCCCATTTACCTTCTCTTTCCTATTTAGGGTTGGGGGATTGGTGGAAGGGAGGTAGAGGCCTAAACAGCCCAAGTAAAGTAGAGTTTTAAAAACGAGCTCTATATTGGTGGGCTGGGGAGATGGCTCTACTTACATCATAAGCTTGGTGACCAGGACCCATGCAAATAAAAGCCAGGCACAGTGGCACACATCTGTAATTCCAACACTCACTCCTACAGTGAGATTCGAGATGAGACAGAGAATCACCTGAAAGCTGTGAGCCAACTAGCCCAGAGTACACAGGATGGCAGAAACAAGAGAGACCCTGCCTCAAATATATGAATGGAGAGTCCCAGCTCCCAAAAGCTGTCTTGAACCTCCACGTCCACACTGTGGCAATGCATAAATTTGAAATGATCACTTTTACTTAAAAACAAAAATGTGAGGAAAAATACAATATTGGGAACAAAAATGTGATAGGAGGAAATCAGTGAAACTGAATAGAATTATGCAGGAGAAAACGTGAAGAAAAAAGTGAAAAGGGATGAAGGAGAAAGAATGGGGACTTGGTAGCTTTTAGACCATCACACTAAATGGTGGATAAGTAGAGTGTAACAGGATAACTAGACAAAAATAGATAAGTTCCTTGAAAAATACAATGTGCCAAAATGCACACCTTATGAGAAGACACAAGACACTAGAATAAGCCAAAATACATGAATACAAAATACATAATAAGCCAAAATAAGTAGTAAATAACAACAGTCCAAAACAAAGTAGCAAGCCCAGAGAGATGGGTGCTGGGAGACTTCGACCAAACACATAAGGGTGGGGTGTGCAGATTCTCTCCCGTCTCTGTGAGAAGAAACAGAGAAAAAAACCACATCTTCACCCATTCTGAAAGGCCATATCACACTAATAACAAAGCCAGACAAATAAAAGCATCAAAGAGAACTACAGATCAGTATCTTTTATGAACAAAGATGAATAAATATTCTGGTGTGGGTCTTACAGTGGGCCAATCCAGCTGAGGGCAGGGGGATGGGCAGGCAAGAAAAATCCCTCAAATATTAGTAACTTGAATCCAGATATTTTGTACCAGCAAAATGGTTCAGAGGGTAAATACTTGATGTCAGAATGATGACCTGTCAGTCCCTGGAGACCATATGTTGGAGAAAACTGTCTCCCACAGGCTGACCTCTGACCTCCACACACATGCCATGACATTCTGTCTTGCACTTACACACACACACACACACACACACACACACACACACACACACACACGTAAAATGTTTTTAGTGTTTTGAATCCAGTTCTATATAAGAAGTCTTACATACCATATTTAAGTGGGGCTGACCCCAGCATGTTCATCATTTGAAACATTTCACATTGGAAAATCAGTTCATGGTGGCCTGAGCTTTTTTACATCCCTCACAGACGTACAGGCTGGCTTCCCTACCTCAGATTCCAAAGTGGGGGAATCATTCACCCATTTCATGTGCAAAAAGGACTTTCATCCTGCATCCAAATCCAACATCAAGAAAGCATGGATGGCAGAACAGAAGAGATCATGTGACAAAAGGAAACAAGAATTAATGCAGTAGTACCTTCAAGAACAAGAGTCATGTGATGGTGGATTCTTGTGGGAGAAGAGCCTATAAAGAATGGCCTAAATGCCATGGATGAGGCCCCACCAGGAATTAACACAAAGAGAAAGAAAAATGGAAGGAGACACATAATAAAAATGTGAATGGCAGAAAAGAGCTCCAAGAAGAAAATATGCCCACAATGACAAGAACATCAGAGATCAGTCCTTCGGTACTCAGGTTAAAAGTGTGAGGTGTATTAAATGTCACAAGCGGGGTCATGTCAGCATAAAGGGAGACTGCCCGTTGTTTGTCTTCCTGGAATCAATTCAAGTTTAATTCCTTCTGAGGTCTAGGGGCCATCAACGTACCCCTTGGAGCTAATAATAGCAGAGATGAGAAACAATGGGTGTGCGCTGAAATGAAATGCACAGGGGAGAAAGTTGACTGCAAGTGAGTTATCACAGGACTATGTGGCCAGTGATAGTGAAAATCCTGATGTTGAATTCTTAAAGTCACTGACCACCGAACAGAAGCTTCTCAGGAAACTGAGATAGATTTTAAAAGTATATATATATATGAAAGAGAAAAAGTTATAGAAGAACAGAGGTACACACACACACACAGAGCATAAAACAAATTCCCTTTTTCTCCTCCTTTTCCTCCTTCTCCTTTCTCCTTCTCTTTTGCTGAGACTTCAGAAAACAGTAGTAAAGGTAATAATGAAGAAAAAAGGCGAGGGGAGGGAAGAGAAGGAGAGAGGACAGGAGAAGAGAGGAAAGGGAGGAGAGGAAAGGAGAGAGGAGGAGAGAGGAGAGGAGAGGAGAGGAGAGACAGGAAGAGAAGGGGAAGAAAAACATTCAGGAACTAATAGCAATGACTCTAAGAGGACAAGGGTAGAAGACGTTTTCTGAAGAACTTTCTAGGAGTTATAGCAACAGAGAAAGCCAAGAAAAAATTGAGGCTTCTAAAACAAAAGCGTCTTGAGGCTATTATAGCAAATGAGGTCGTTCTTGTTCTCACAGGAAGTCCAGAAGCCATTCTAGTCCAAACAAGAAAGGGCTGATGGAGGCAGGTGAGCTGAAGTCACTGCAGGGCTGAGGGCTGCAGGAGAAGCCACAGCTGGAGTTCGGGTGGTCACAAGGGGGTTGAGGAGCTGAGCACAGCAGAGTCCCAGTGAAGACTGGAAAGAAGGAAGACACCAGAAGCCAGGACACCGATGGCTACAGAAAAGACAGCGCACAGTGAACATCCCGAGTTGGGCACAGCAGTGCCACCCAGTGAAGAGCAAGTGGCAGAGGGGAAGCAGCACTGAGACACTGAGATTAAAAGGGCTCCATCTTCTTACTGAATATCTTTAGTAAGGGCTAACTTACACAGTATTGTGTCTCTAATTAAAAAAAAAAAAAAAACTCTTAGTTTTCCGTCTGTGTAAATTGCCGTTTCAAGTGTGAAATGACACGAGTAGCACAAGGTTGAACTTTGCAGATACTTGTCGGCCATCTATATAGGGGTAGAGAAAAAAAATTCTGTTTGCAACTGTTTCTTATGCCTTTTTTAACCAGATAGTAAATATATAAGTAATAACATGATTTTTTTGTTGTTGTTGTTCTGAAACACCATGAAAACAGTGACAGAACACTGAATAAAAAAGAAGCAGAAAAAACAAAAAAACAGTTCATAATGCCAGGTGTGGTGGCACACACCTTTAATTCCAGCATTTGGGAGGCAAGGGCAGGTGGATATCTGTGAATTCAAGGCCAGTCTGGTTTACATA